ATGTTGGTTTCTGTTCTAAGTACCCTGTAGAGAATATCTTTAGAAAAGTCTAATGTAGTACATTAAGTCATTTCTGACCCATCATCAGTAACAACTGCCAATAATTATGAATGTAAATAATCTGGTGCCAAATTGTTCCTAGATTTAAGAAACAAGGCATAAAAATAACATTGGCCAGCAGCCCAAATAATCTTACCAAGTTTTCTCAAAGGCATCATCCAGTAGGTACTGTCTGGTTAGTCAAATATATACAGTGGGGTCTTGACTTGAGAACTTAATCCGTATTGGAAGGCGGTTCTCAAGTCAAAAAGTTCTCAGGTCAAATCTGCATTTCCCATAGGAATGCATTGAAAACCATTTGATCCGTATCTGCTCTTTTCCGTCCATAGAAACTAATGGGAAGCTGCTATTCTGCCTTCGACCACTAGAGGGGGATATTTTGTTTCTTTTTTTCCTTAGGTCAAGAAAGGTTCAGGGAAGGCGGGGAAAATACAGTCCAGGCAGTACAGTACCAGGCAGTCTGAAGACTGTCTCCCAATCCACTCTCTAAACACTGGGAGGAGTGAGGAAGCAGACAGGCACCCTTTTCACCGGCCAACAGTTAACTGAAATGTATTTGCGAAGGCTTTCACGGCCGGGATCCAATGGTTGTATCAATACAGCCACAACAAAACATACTAATTAACCATCTCCTGATAGGACAATAGCCTTCTCACAAACAAGCCTTCTCACAGCCATAAATACTCCACTCTCAAGCCTTACCCAGAGCACAGTTTGCTGTCCTCTGAAGATGCCGGCCACAGAGACTGGCGAAACGTTAGGAAGAACCACCTTCAGAACACGGTCAAGAAGCCCGAAAAACCCACAACAACCAGTTAACTGAAAGTTCAAATTTTGCACTTTCCCTGCCTCCCACGAGGTTTTTTTCAGTTCTTAACTCAAATCTAAGTACTTAAGTCAAGTCAATATTTTCCTATGAGAGTGGTTCTTAAGTCAAAATGTTCTTAACTCAAGCCGTTCTTAAGTCAAGACCCCACTGTAGTCATGTGAAAAAGAAAGTACACCCTCTTTGAATTCTATAGTTTTACATTTAAAAACATAATAAAAATCATCTGATCCTCAGCAGGTCTGAAAATTAGATAAATACAACCTCAGATGAACAACAACACATGACATATTACACTGTGTCATGATTTATTTTACAAAATAAAGCCAAAATGGAGAAACCATGTGTGAAACACTAAGTACACCCTTACTGCTTCCATAGGAATTAAGAGGCTAAGTAGCAACCAGATACTCCTAACTAAATGCCCTTGAGTAATTCATCATCAATAAGTGTGGCCACCCCTATAAAAACAGAAGTTTTAGCAGTTTGCTGCTCTAGAGCATTCAGATGTGTATTAACAAAATGCCAAGGAGGAAATACATCAGCAATTATCATAGAGAAGAAATTATTGCTGCCAATCAATCAGGGAGACCATAGCAGAGATATTTGACCACAATGTGCAGCATCACATTTACTTAAAACCATACAGAGTATATCAGCAAGATTACTTCACAACAACTGTCAAATACAGTGGTAGAAGAATGATGATTTGGGCTTGTTTTACAGCCACAGAACCTGGGCACCTTGCAGTCATTGAGTCAACCATGAACTTCTCTGTGTATCAAAGTATTCTAGAGTCAAATGTGAGGCCATCTCTCTGACAGCTAAATCTTGGCCAAAATTGGGTCATGCAACAGGACAGTGATCCCAAGCACATCTACAACAGAATGGTTGAAAAAAAGAGAATCAAGTTGTTGCAATGGCCCAGTCAAAGCCCAGACCTCAACCCAATTGAAATGCTGTGGTGGGACCTTACATAAACAAACACCTGCAAACCTCAGTGAACTGAAGCAATATTGTAAAGAAGAGTGGGCCAAAATTCCTCCAGAATAATGTGTAAGAGAATGATAAAGAAAACAATTACTTCAAGTTATTGCTGCTAAAAGTGGTTCTACAAGCTATTGAATCATAAGGTGTACTTAGTTTTCACACATGGCTTCTCCATTTTGGTTTTCGTAAATAAATCATGACACGGTGTAATATGTCATGTGTTGTTGTTCATCTGAGGCTGTATTTACCTGATTTTTACACCTGCTGAGGATCAGATGATTTTTATTATGTCTTGAAATGTTAAACTGTAGAATTCAAAAAGGGTGTACAGTACTTTCTTTTCCACATGACTGTACATGTAAACTGGGCTGTTGGACTTAAGTGGTTCTGTCTGTTAAAAACAGTTTGCTGCTGCTGTTGTTTCTTCTGGAAACATGGAAAACCTAGAGTAATATCATTTCTTAAAGGTGTTTTTGAATCTGTAAAGCATTACTGTCTGTGCCATTAGACTGAGAGCTGAGCAGTGCTGAATTGCTTGGAAGGGCAATTAAAAGGTTTGTACACAGGCAAAATAAATGTTGATTTTTCTGTCACATAGTGACCTATTTTTTATTTTCATTGGGGAATAATCACTAAACAATCTATCCTGCATTACTTCAAGTGCATTTTCAAGAGTAGTTAATAAACCTCTCTAGAAAGCTAGCTGGCATGAAGAATAGCTTTGTTGCTTATAAATGTAAATAAATGGTTTTGGAGGCTTACGTTTTGGTAACATTAGAAACAATTTTCTTGAAAGCACACACCCAGCTTCTGAACCCTACAGTGATTTTCACCTCTCAGAAATTACGCTTCTTAAGAAGAGCAGTTTCTCCACTATGACAAGATTGTACAACCATAGTAGATTTGCAGGCCTGTAGATGTCACAAGATAGCAGCTTATTAAATACTTTGCAGAACTCACACTTAGTGGAGTGTGGCATTAGTGCCTGAGACATTCAGAAGTGGATGTAAATTTTATGTCTTCTCCAAACAGATAATAAGAAGCCAATTTATTTTTTTAATTTATTTTTTGTGGGTGGGGAAAAGGATTCTTAGATTGTCTTCTGTCAGTTGATGGCTCTACAGAACATTACTAGTAACCCCTATTAACATATTTTCCTGTGTATATGACCCCCCAATGTATAAGATGACCCCATAATTTTGCCTCCGCCTCCTCCTGCTGCTCTCCAGTGCCACTCGTGGGTTCAGCAGGAGGAGGAAGCAGAGACAGAGGCAAAGAAGCAGCCATGCTTGGCCACCTCTCGCTGCTGTCCATTGACTGCTTCTGTCACCGAATTGCCTCTTCCAGCCCCACTAGTGGGCTCCCTTTGGGCAGGGGCTGAGGAGGCGACATGAGCCCCAGCAAGTCGCACTGGAGGACGCGATCAAGCGGTGGAGGCAGCAGTCAATGGTCAGCCATGAGAGGCAGCTGAGCACAGCTGTTCCTTTGCTTCCGCCTCCTCAATTTTTCCTCTAATGTTTTTAGCAAAAAGTGTTGTTTTATACATGGAAACACACGGTAATCTGATATAGTGGTGTTGATAATGGCCAAAGAAAATGTAGTCTTTGGCAGTCAATATAACTTGATTGTTGCATTTGCTACTTCGTTGCCCTTAGTTTTTTCATCACTTCCTTTAAACACATCTTAACTTCTTCTAGAGATTATTGTGGTGAAGGGCAGGAATGACAAAGATGAAGGGGAAAATGTATCAGAACTATATTTATATTTTGTCTTAGTGGAAGATGGGGACATGGTGGCGCATGGGGACATGGTGGCGCCGCGGGCTAAACTGCAGAAGCCTGTGCTGCAGGGTCAGAAGACCAAGCAGTCGTAAGATCGAATCCACGCAATGGAGCGAGCACCTAGCGCTTGTCCCAGCTCCCGCCAACCTAGCGGTTCGAAAGCATGCAAATGCAAGTAGATAAATAGGGACCACCTCGGTGGGAAGGTAACAGCGTTCCGTGTCTAAGTCACACTGTCCATGTGACCACGGAAGATTGTCTTTGGACAAACGCTGGCTCTATGGCTTGGAAACGGGGATGAGCACGACTGGACAAAATTGTCAAGGGGAACCTTTACCTTTACCTTAGTGGAAGATAGCTGTTTTTCACACAAATTATGAATACCTTCTGAAATGTGTAGCAGGCAACATAGAACAAAGGAAATACATTATCCATCTAACTCACTAGCATCTATTCCAGATGTGGAGAGCCACCTCCAAATGTTGATAGATATTGGAGGTCTAGTGACATCTGGAAGACCAGCCACTCCCTGGACTTGATCTGCACTAGCTATCCAATAGCCCCCCAACATTTAAAACAGAAGCAGTTTTCAGCCTTCCCTAGAGATGATGGAAATTATACCAGGGACCTTCCTCATGTAGGGGCTCTGTCACTGAACTGCCCTGAACATGATTACACTACTGAGCGTCTTGGGAAAGTTCTTTAGTGGTTTTGGAGAAGTTTTCTGGACCTTTTCCATCTCTTGTAAAATTATTGCTGTTAATCCATCATTGTCACCATAAATTTAACACAAAACGAATTGTTGTATGAGTGAGCATTTAAACCCATGATTGATTATCAGTTGCTGGCAGTGGAAACAGATGATGGCTACATAAAATGTGTTCTAATAACCTATCAAGCTCTGGTTTTGTGGGAACCATATAAATAGCAACAGCCTTGTACAAGTGGCCACTAGGATTTTGAGGGAGGCTAGGCATAATTATCTAGATGTTTCTTATTTACCATTCCCATAAGTACTTGATAGTATAGCCAATAGTGAATGACTATAGGAAATGAAGTTCAGAAACACCTCAAAGGACACAGCTGCCCACCTCTGCAGTGGATTTTGCATAGTGATAAAGACATGTGGCAAACTGTATTGTTTTGCACCCTGCGTTTTTGTATTTCTCTCTTAATTTAGTTCTTGTTTAGCGCATTCTGTCTGCCTAGAGTTCTGTTAATGAAATAGATTATACATGTAAGATACAACAAGTTGCCATAGTTATTTTAAATCAGTAAATTTCTCTGAATGTGTTGACATGCCTCTTCACATCCATCTGTTTCTTTGGTTCTTTCTCTTGTAGGATCATACATGATAGTGGATTCTTCCCACCACAGTCATGGGGAAAAGGCTCGACTCCAACTCCCTACGATGAAAGAGAATGACACCCACTGTATTGATTTCAGCTACCTTCTGTACAGCAAGAAAGGGGCCAGTCCTGGGACTCTGAATATCTTGGTTAGGGTTAACAAGGGCCCTCTGGCAAATCCTATTTGGAATGTGACCGGCTCTACAGGCAAAGATTGGTTAAGGGCGGAGCTGGCTGTCAGCACCTTCTGGCCAAATGAGTATCAGGTAAGCTTGGAAGTGCAAAACAGTTTCAGTAGGTTTTGGAACATACAATTAGGTGCAAAATATATAGGTGTTTTCAAATTCCTGGCAATCTCTCTTCTATAATGCTTGTCAGAAAATGTTGGTGTGTAGATTGTGTTGGGATGTGTTGCCTATTAATAGAAAGAGATTTGGAGTCAATACTGCAGATGCTGTGTGACTCTTCATTGACCTGGGCCTGAGGGGATTAGAGAAGAAAGGCGCGGAAAGACATGCCCTTCACAAATACAGCACATGGTTGAGCATCTAGGTTTCTGGCTCCAAGAAAATGCTTCTTCAGTTCTTGCTCATATACAGTTCCTCAGTATGTGCGAGAGAGGAGGACCAATACAGATAGTGTATTAAGAAGTAAGAGAGAACATGTAGATAGGAAATAATAAGCTAAGTGATACATGGAGACATTCTCAAAGAGGTTTATGTCAATGTGGATAATCTGTTTTGTCTCCAAGATGTTTGAATGATTGCCTTTGAGGGGGAAAAATTCATGCATAAGAACTCCCTTTCTGGATCATTCATCTGATGTTGTCTTTCTGCTCCCAGCAAAGTAAACACCGAGAGAGAATTGAATCTCACCCATTTCTTTCTTCCCATGGAGGAGCTACACAAGTATTCTAGTCTAGTAAGACGAAGCTTGTTCTAAATGCCATGTAATGGAATGTAGTTAGAAACCCTATAATCTTGTACAATTTCATGAGGAGAGAAAGCCTGTCAGTGTGGATTGTTTTTCTCTCTCTTTGAACAGTGTGCCTTTTCTGTTTCCTTTTGTAAGAGCCTCCTGTAATGCCGTGAGGTCAATGCAGCTGCTTTAAAAAGTACTGATCCCCTTCCCCTAGTTTTAATGTGGCTTTACACCACAGAGCGTGGCATGAATGTCTCCTTTGTTTAACTGCAATTCTCTGTGACAGTGCTCCAGTTCACTAACTCTGCTGGTTGCATGTGCACCTGTAGAGAGTTTAGCAAACACTGGCGGAATGCCACATGTGTTTAAGATGGGATTGACAGCGATGGATTTGCATTAAGAGCTGGGTTATAAAATGGAACACTGGCATGGCCAAACCCACAACAAGTCACATCTCACAAAGAATTAGAGCTGAGGATAAAGAAAGCATGAATGCATGTTGTCTCTTAGACCCAACCCTAAGAAGGTGTTGTAATTGCATATGTGAGCCAGGTATGTAAAGCTAAACAGTCACCTCTGCAATCTTTCATAGATCGAGAATGGGAATACCACCAAGGTTATCCTGTCAGGTCCCTCCTTCCTCTCACCCTCATTAACTTGAATAGCAGAATGTTTAATTTGCAACTAGTGAGCAGCTGCTAGAAGAACAGTGAGAGGAAGACATATTTAAATTTTTTTTAACATCTTGGCAATAATTGCTTTCAAATGGCCATATGCAATTTCCCAGTAGTCACCCAGCAATTGTTTTCTCTTTAATCAGCATCATTTAATAGACATTGATTCTGTTGAGAAAAGACTGAAGCAAATGCTGAGAAGGAAGTGCAAAAGATTGGCTGTCCCAGTTGAGTGTAGCAGAGCTTGGAATGTTTTGTCTTGGCAACAGACCAGTTAGGATGCAGGAGGCCAAGCCTATCCAGGAACTGAAGAAAGAGTAAACCAATAAACCAAGCTCAATTTAATCTTTGCTAGGTTTGTTTATAAGGAAGATTCCTGGCAGCCAGATAAAACTAGCTTTCTTGTTATTCCAAGGACATAGATTTTACACAGTAAGATGCACATCACTTGTATTTTGGTGTGACTCAGTCTGTCTATTCGGACTGGAGGTGGTGCTGAAAGAATGTGCTGGACCTCTGTTCAAAAGGACACAGTCACTACAGAACACAATACACTCCGTGACTGTGTCCTTTTGAATAGTTGTTGAAGGCCATCACAGAGTGTGCTTTGAGTTGATAATGTATGGGTTGCTGGGTTAGAACCCGAATATAACTATGTATTGTCCTGTAAACCCTAGTGCTATTTGGCTCTCTAACTATTAAGAAACAGCTGAGTCAGGATGGTGTAATTGTATTGACTTAGGACTTAAAAAGACCTGATTGCAAATCCTCACTTGTACTGCAACTCACTGGTGACCTTGGGCCAGTTTACTTGGCCTGCTTCACAGGGTTGTCATGAAAAGAAAGTAAGGAAGAAAGCCATGTATGCTCCACTTGAATCTCATTGCATGAAAGGTGAGATAGAAAAATAAGAAATAAAATAATATTAATTGGTAACTAGTTTGATACTTGATTTAAAAAAGGTGGATTGATTACATGCCTGACTTTAAATGATTAGTTGCTTTCTCCATCATTTTTCACAGTCTGAGTTAATGAACTGGCCAACCAGTTAGCCACCTATTGGGAGAAAGGCAACCTCTAAATAATACAAACAAACATATGAAACAAACAAACAAACCGCTTAGCCAAGGAGGTCTGGTCTGGCCCAAGAAACAGTGGAGCCATTGGAGAAGACACCAGACAGGATAGAGGGTTCCCAAAGGGGTAATACCTTTGTGTCTTACATTTTCTTTGACTGTAAGTTAAACATGACTATATCACAAGTTACTTTTGGTGGCAATGAGGGATTCATTACACTGTTTGTATAATATAATATTTGGTCATTGATGTGGAAGGATAAGTGTGGGTTGGACCATTTTGAGAGATATATTTATGCATATCCTTGTTTACATGGGCATTTTCTTGTGGAGGGAAAAACCTAACAGATGTAATGAAGAAGTAATGCATTCATGGTTGGAAAGCCAGTCTGATGTAGTGGAATTGTCAGAGTATGACAGGAGAACTGATCTGGATTAAGGTTCCCACTTAGCTATGATACCTCATATCTGACTAGCTTTGTAATGTGCTACTAATGCATTACTTGTAACATAAAGAATAATAAATTATTTTTCCAAAAATATGACACTAATGGTGTTGGCCAGAATCCTATTAGTGTTCAGAAAATCCTGTTGTAAAACTTGCTGAAGCTAATTGCAGCTAACTGGAAAGGTATTGGAGTTCATCTCAGTTATGCAAGCATGCATGTAACCAGGTACACGACCCCCCAGCATTTCAGCAGCCAGCCACAATTGACGGTGGCAAGTTTTGCAATGCTTACCTGAACACAAATAGGATTTTGGCTGTTGCACTGATGTTCCATGCTCTATCCAAAGTACAAAACTGCTTTTGTCTGATGAAGACAAAGAAATGATTTATTTAACTGAATTGGGGGCTAGCTGGGAATTTCTGGAGACATGCATTTCAAATAACAAAGTGGAGTGTGACTGATTTATCAGATTATGTACTTTAACTATTACTTTGGAATTTGAAGAATGGAGACATTCATCAAATAAATGAATTGGGTTTTTTTTTCTGGATGTGGAAGTATTTGACACCAAGACAGATTGACTGTGCCTCTCACCCATCCAAATGTCAAGATATGTTCCCAATAATTCTGAGGGCCGAAAGCATATGTTCGGAAAAATATTTTTCCAAAAGGAGTGGTCCTTCAAGTAATAAAGATTTTTAACTGAGAAAACATATTAAAATGAAAAAAAAAACATGTGTATCACTACTCTTAGGGAACATAAAATAAACTGGCTATCATGCACACTTAATGCCAGAGACACTTATAACAAAGTTGATCATGTTGCTGGGAGGGGATGGTGGAAATTAAAAGCAGGAAAGACTTATGTCTCTGAACACATGTTTTGATCCTGATAACCTTTCTAAAAGAGGAATTTGGGATGAAAAATGGGAATCTTGTTAGGTGCAATTAAATTAAGAAATCTCCTTTATTCCGTTTCAGAGTTAATCCAATATCAATAAAAGTGTTAATATAGTGTGGAGTATAGTTAATTCCCACCCTCAACAAAATACACAGCCCAAGAGAGTGTGATCAACAGGTAAAAGAAACAGCTTGCTGAAGGCATCTTAGAAAGCAACAACCAATCGGGCAAGAAAAAGATTTAAAATGCATGGGACTGACAGTATAACTGCCAGGTAGACAAGGCTTGGTTAGCAAAACAACTAGATAGCAGCAAAGAAAGAAGCTTGATGGGACTTTCTTAATAAAGAAGCCATTTAGGTCTTGGATATTAAAGAATTTGGATAGCGGTTGAGTATGAGAGAAGACAGATAGAGATGGGAAGATAGATTTGAGCTTACAGAGGTTTGGTTGGGAAATGTCATAAAAAGTTTGTTGGTGTGAATTCTGTACGGTGTTCATAATTTCATTTGACCAAAGCCAGCGTGCTGAGCCTGGTCCTCAAAAGAGTCTCCCTCTGATTTGCTCACTTTTTTCTTTGATGTCAATTAGGTCATTATCAAAGTGGCCTTATATTGAGCTGATGCCTATGATTTTGGCTTGGTATTGAAGCATAGGTCTACCGTGGCAGCCTTGCTACGGGTGACACAGAGTTAATGCTAATCACAGACAGGATTGGAGTCATGAGGATCTTTCAGAACCTGGACAGTTTACAACCTCAATCCCTTCTGATGTTGTCAAGGGCACAGCCAAGAGCATCTTCCTGAAGAGGCTTGGGCTGCTTTCTGCCTTGGTCTCTCTGAGCTTGGGCCAAAAATCCCAAATAAATTTTGCAAACAAAGGTCATATGCACCACCGCCACCCACAGACAGAAAAGGCACTGTTTATGGAGGTCTGCGAGAAGGATTTTGCCCTGACACTCCACACACAATTTGAAGAAGATCCCAGGAAACATAAAAGCCAAAAGTGCCCCCCAAAATTAATGAACAGTCATTTTTTAAAATAACCTATAAGTAAAATTGCAGATCATGTCTATATATATAGACATGAGTACCCAGCTTGCTGGGGGGGCAATGTGTAGCCTGTATAATTAAAAATTGTAAACCGCCTGGAGAGTGCTTGTAGCGCTATGGGGCGGTATATAAGTCCAATAAATAAATAAATAAATAAATAAATAAATAAATAAATAAATATCTTCGATGAGGTG